AGATTAGGCATCTACTATGAGTAAGATATTATAATAGGTAAAATTCGCAATGAAAATATGAAGAGACAGTCTTTTTGACTGTAAGGAACTCTGAAACTAGCAGAGGGAACTCCGCGGCAGTAACAACCTGAGGCTCTGTGTGCTGGAAGCTCAGGGAGGGTCTCTGTGAAAATCTAGAGTTTTCAGATGAGAGAGGAATTCCTCTGCTAGCATCATCATAATATTTTTAGAATGTATGGCACTTATGAGGAAGGAGGGGTAGAGTTTATAGACATGATTATGGGAGGAGACAGAGGCATCCACGTGGAACAGAATAATTACAAAGTCCGAAAGTTAGTGAAAAGGTCTGGAAAACCTGGAACAAAGGGTCCGTGCACAATGTTTTCCAACTGTGTTCCCCTGCGCAATGCGTGATCCTTGAGAAGTTATATGATTACGTTTACTAGGAAAGTTTTGGTGCGAAAATGCTAAAATCTGAAACATTGCACAATTTGGGGGAATGTTTAACTGACTCCTTTCCAAGAGAAGGCATAAGAGCGCAATATCTATTTCATTCATTTGACAAATATATGTAGCAAAAAGATGGTAGTGGATCAGAAAGACAGAGTAGCTCCCGGCTGGCATGGCTCAGCGGTTGAGCATCAACCTATGATCCAGGAGATCACGGTTCGATCCCTGGTTGAGGGCCTGCAGGAGGCAGCGGATCAATGACTCGCTCATCATTGATGTTTCTCTCTCTCTCTCCCTCTCCTTTCTTTTCTCTGACATTAATAAAGACTTTAAAAAAAAAGAAAAAGAAAGAAAGATACAGTAGCTGTAGGAGTTGTAAAGACTTAATGAGTTTTAATATGTAAGTTGACATGATTCGTCCTTAAGCACAGTGCCTGGCACATACACAGTAAATGTTGTTTTTGTTACAGTTCTTGCTACTTGAACAAGGCATCGGACAAGAATTTTCACGGTATCTTTCTAGACAAAGTGAATACGTATCGTCTGAATGTTATAAACAGGTAAAGGGCTATGTCTCCACAATGGACTAGGTTTCCTGGAGATGCGACGCACTAGCCTTGAACGTAGTGGTCTGGCCCTTAGGTAGACATGGCAGGGAAGGTTCCAGACTGCTTGACCTATGAAAAATGCCAACACTTTTCCGGCCTATGCAAGTCCCTCTTTCAAGCTCCTTGATCTCAGGTAAGGTTTGAGAAGTGCAGGGAAGGAGAGAGGAAGGAGAAACAAAAAGGCAGAGAAGAGACAAAGAAAAACCACTCGCAGGGATGACATCACCGCTGTGTCGTAAAACTGAGCGTTAAACCTGCAGGAGTCATTCCTGCTCTATCTCAATGGGGAACAACAGGCTGAGCTCTTGGGGTCCTCGGCTAACACGACTACCAGATGGATCCTGGGTTTGGTGGCCGGAAGGGAGCATTCCTTCTTGGGGTTTAAGATGCAACAACGCGTTATTAAACCTGTTTGTAACACAATGTGCGAGATGACATCATGTCCCCGGGTGTGCGTGACCTCACCAAGAATGTGTGCCCTGCTGCGCAGAAGTGGAACTCCAGGATGCAGACAGTGAGCTAATGCCTTATAAATAGCTCCCCTCCCCCGCTCCCCTTCCTCCCAGATCCAAAATACTCTTTAAAAGAGGAAGAGAAAACATCTTGTATGCAATCCCGCATCAAAAAGACGTCATAAAAAAATGTTGAGCAATAAGCACCTGAGACGAATGGAAAAATCGACCTAGCCTCGGGAGACTGCGATTTTTAGCCTGATATCTCAGTCACGGTCTGTCGGGAAATAAAAAAAAGGCCTCGATATTGAGAGCAGTGGGACCTCAACGCGGAGAACTGGTTATGCTGGTGATAGAAAAGCTAAGTTTAATGAGACAAACAGGCCCAGAACCAGCACATCTGGAAAGACAGATGCTGCCTTAAAGAGGAGATCCTCATTGTCTGCAAAGCGGTCACTGGTCTGCGCACGGTGAGGAGTGACAACCGTCCGGTCAGGGTCAGGTCTAAGGTCAGGAGAGGAAGACGGAGCTCGCCGTAGCTGAAGGCTGGGGAAGCAGCCGCTCTGCCACCTCACAGCGACGAGCCACGGTCTCGCCATCCTCACAGGAAAGGTTAAAATCCGTCTTCATGGGCACTGCCAGTGTTGCGGCTGTCGCCCCAGACAATACCGACGTCCAGTACAGACGCGCTTATTTATCATTCAGTAACTCGCCGCCGGGTAAGCGCGTTGCTTTCCAGGTCAGTCTCTTCCCCCGACGGTCCTACTGCAAGGCTGGAGCAATTTCGTGACAAGGGGTATTCGACGGTTGACTGTGGACGCAATGCTCTATCATTAACCGACGCGTAATTAGTGCGTTAAAAATGAACTAATAGCACGTAACTTAATACAATCGCCCCCAAATGGAGAAACCCGGGCTTTCTCACAACGGGGAGCACATTACAGTGGGGGAGCTGGAAGCGAGGAGCCGCCAGCTGGCAGGGCACCGCGTGTTTCAGGTTACTGTGTGTTTATGACCTCCGTGTTCTAGAAAAACTTAATTAGATTATGCTATTTGAGAGTCCTGGCTCGCCTGGTTCCGCGCCATCCGTATCAGAACCACCCATCTGAAGTTTAATGACGCTGTTTTAATTGCACCTCTGTCTCTGAGCTCTGGAAAGGGCGGTGAGTGTAGGAGCTGCTAAATAACAGGGGGAAGCTGGGATTCCCGCAGACGGCAGCGTTTGGGGTGAAGAGCGTTTTTTGGTTTTTTTTGTTTTTCTTTGCTCGCCTCTCCCTGGTTTCTCAAGTTTTTCTCAGCCTCTTGGTTCCTTTTCCCCTTCTTCCTTGATTTCATTGACCAGACAAATGACTACGGATGTCCATCCGTCCATTTCTCCAATAAATAGGAACTGGAAATCTGCCACGAGGGGACACAAGGCCGGTGGCGGCAGGGCCTGATCCCCCAGGACTCGTACAGATATGTAGCCACAGTGGGAGGCAGCCCACGTCACATGCCATCCGAACAGCAGAGGTGACAGGTGCTTTGAGGGTTTCAGGAGGTGCCGAGGTAACTTCTGTTAAGACAATCGGGGGAGAGTTCACAGGAAAGGTAATTCTAGAGACAGATCTTGTTGGAGAAACAGTGCAGAATTATGAAAGCCAAGAGAAGAGAGGATCTCAACACCAGAGAGATGGCCAGTGTGTCAAGTTATATAGAAATGTCCAAGAGGAAGCCAACTGAAAAAGTTTTAATCTCAAGTCAATGTCCTTTGAAACACTATCTATGTGAGAGGAAGATACCTGGCAGAAAGTTAAAATTCAGTACAATCATTTTATCTAAATAACACCCACTCACATATCTGGCTGACTTTACCACTGAATCGAGCTCATCCATCCAGCCATTCGACAGACATCAACAGATGACATAATTTGTGCGTGTATTAGGGACACACACGGCAGTGACCAAAACCGAAGTCCCTGCTCTCCTGGAACTTTACCTTCTAGAGAAGATAGATTTTGAACACAGCAGTGAATATGGAATATGTTACAATAAGTGCTATAAAGAAAGAAAAATCAAGATACAGGCAATAGAGTCTTGGCCCTGAATAAGGAGTGTGATTAGCTTCTGGGAAGAACAGAAAAGCCCAGTGTGGCTGGAACACAGAAGCAGGCAGGCGACACGGCCCAAGGGAGCAGGACTGAGATCTGGGGTAGGTCTGTAGGCCGACCTGGAGACCCTGACATTGAGCATGAGAGGGAGTCAGGGTATTCAACAGTGAAGCGACACGATCTAATTCGTGGTGCAGTAGGACACCGCTGGCTTTTGTGTTGAGACTAGACTGAAAATTTTGTCTCATCGGCTGTAGACAGCTCCAAGTGACAAAATATCTATCAGGATGGCTGAACTTGGTCTTGTTGGTGAACCCGTTAGCACTGAGAGCCTGGCTTCTGCATCTAGATGCTCCAATGCCAAGGGGGTGAATTTCAGCCCCAAACAGCAGCCACCTGGATCTTACGTCCAGCTCCGTTGCTTATGTCCAATCGTCATGCCTTTAATTCAAGAACAGTGGTACTACCTGGCCTGCTGCGTCCATAACTCAACACCCAAGCGCCGGCTTAAGAACAAACGCCGCTTGTGTGACTTGGTGTGGGTCGTGGCAAATTCTAGAGACAACGAATAACAGCCGCCCAGTTCATCCCATTGACCCCAGTGAACTCTGCTCAGTAAATATTTGCAGAGTGACCGAATGCCAAGGCACGCCTTGAGTTTATGCAACGTGGTGACATTTCCACCGCTAAAGCTGTGCTATTGCAAACTTTATCTTGGAGAACTCACCATGGGTGGTGAGGCTGCTCCAAACCTAGGAAGCTGCTATTGGCCAAATTATGGGCTCTTGGAGAGGAATGTTTCCTGTGTATTATTTAAAAAAAAAATTAAAAAGAAAAGAAAAGGCCCAGCATGACTAATACGATAAGAATGTTCTCATTTTCTCCAGGAGAGGAAAGGAGTCAGGTAGAGCTTTGCAACAATCCCTGGTCACAAACCTCAGCAGACAACCAGGTCATTAACTAACCACACGCATGTGGCTCATGGAACGGAACATCCCGGAGCTCTGAAACCACAGGCATCTATCTGCTGGATTCAAGGAAGCAGCTTCACAGGCCCGGACAGAAAAAGCATGTGCTGAACTTTCCAACGGTCCTGATTTATAGGCAAGAAGGTGCAAGGTCGCGGTACACGGAAAACTGAACTGCTTACGGTTCTCCTGGCCACCCCCTGCAGAAACCCTGGCTGCCGTGGTTTCTAGGAAGATACCAAGCGTGTCACCTCTCCACTGGCCACACCAGGCCTTGTTCCCGTCATCCAGCCACACATCTGTGCTGTGATCCTTCAGGATCGGCCATGAGACCCCTGCCTTTGGTTACCAGCCAAGCTAGGGTGTGACATTTCTTTTTTCCTGTTTAATTATAAAGGGGAAAAAAGAGAAAAGGCTTACCTATTTGCTTTCCCCAGCTATCCGAAAGGTCAAAAGGTAGAGAACATTTCCCTCCACAAATAAGCCGTGGAATGTATTTGCCACTCGACTTTTCATGGGCAGTCGCTGTTTCTGAGCCACGGGTTCCGCTGCTCAGGAAGGTGAAATGGGGAGTTCTTTCCTGAAAGGAAAGAAACAAAAAGGGCAGCTTTATATTTATAATTCGGCATCGATGGAATGTAGGGTCATCTTTCAGACGGGAATGTGGGCTAGGAACACCCTCGGGTGGGAAGGAAGCGGCCCCTGGGCACAGGAAAAGTTCAGATTTCCCTCCGGAGGAAATAATAAAATGAATCCACGCTCCCTGTGAGGCCTTGATGACACTCTGTAAACCGGCCTGTCCTTCGTGAAAGACTCCTTTCATGAAATCATATTTTTACTTTATTTTTTTAAATTGATTTTTAGCGAGAGAGGGAAGGAGAGGTATAGAGAGGTAGAAACATCGATGAGAGAGAAACATTATCGATGGGCTGCCTCCTGCATGCCCCCTACTGGGGATCGAGGCCACAACCCGGGCATGTGCCCTGACTGGGCATCAAACCGGTGACCTCTTGGTTCAAGGGTCAACACTCAACACAAGGAGATGGAGAATTCAGTAGAAGCAAGAAATGATAGGAAAGTGACCAAGAGAAAGATAAACCCTCAAACGCTCCTGAGGTGGACTGAGCAGGGTTCTAGAATTTCCACAGGAGGAAGCATGGGGCTTCCCGCTTATTTTCGTCAGAAACTGAAAAACCCTAGATGGTCAGGAGATGAAATCAGGCAGGTGGCAGACACCTAGAGCTTGTTCTTCTCTGTTGTTCAAATCCTTTGCCTCTCCAGGCCCCATTCAAATGTCATTTCCTCCAGAAACTCATCTCTACCCACGGGTCAGCATGAAAGAGGCTCCTCTGGGGATGTTCTGCAAAGTTCCATGGACAGGAGCCCTGGTCCTTGTCGGGGGAGACCAGGGATCTTGTGGGCAGCCCTACACAATAAATAGGACACTCAGCTTTGCATCATTCTGAAATGAAGATATAGCCCGGGTGGTGCGGCTCAATAGTTGAGTGTCTAAAAGTGTGTCTCCCTCAAGCACCAGAAGTAAGTCCCACTTGAGCAGGGGTCTTGTCTGCCTTGTTCATTACGGAGTGTCCAGCGTCTGGAAAAAATGTCTGGTATACAGTAGGAGCTCAATAAATATTACTTGATGGGTTAAAGAATCGGAGTCACCGCCCTCAAGAAGCCAGAAGCTAGGAGGAAGACACAGAAATACAATATAGGGAGGTAAGTTCAATGACACGGGAAATCTCAGGACTGTAGGACAGGACGCAGAGGGCGGGGGCGAGGGAGGAGTGGACACAGCATCCAAGAGAGGACGCAACGTGGGAGATTAGAGGGTGCACAGAGCATGGGCCCCTACACCCTTTTTTCCCTCTCCCCCTCTTCTCTTCGAGGCCTCTCGGTCCCATGTCTCCTCTTCTGATGGGCAGGGACAACGGGCTCAGAGAGCACCCCGGGCCTGCTCTTTCTGGGTGTGGTCCTTTCTGTAGCTGTGACAGTGTTATGACTTTGCAGAATCGTAGCAAGGAGCCTGTGGGGCTGCAGCTCTGCGGGATCCTGGCAGAAGCTCTCCCAGTGCTAAGGTCAGAGCTGGGGAAAGATGCGGTCATCGCCGGAGAGGCTCTGGGGCTCCGAGGCAGAGCTGGTGTCGAGCGAGCGAGCAGGACTCTTCTTGCAGACTGCGCTCGCCTGGAAATGATCGGGAGCTTTTCCCGTGTGCGGCCAGTTTGATGGGGTTAAAACATGATTAAGCCTAAACATGTAAACAGCAAATTCCCCAGGGAATGGTGATGTAACGTTCTGTTAGGGTTAGGCTGGACTTTAGCTGGCTGTGTTGCCTCATATTGGAATCTGGTCCAAAATGTGGATTTCCTTTTATAAACCCCAGAGTCATCCCCAAGGATAGCAGGATCCACCAAAGAGAAGCCTCCCTAAAATGTCCAGAGTTTCAAAGGCACATTTCTTAGCACCACCTGGGAAAACCACCAACGCCGATCGGCTCTTAGAGGCCTTGGGAAGACGGCGCCCGTCGAGGGTGGGCAGCCACAGGGCCCTTCTCAGGCACATGGATGACGCAGGCCCGGGTCCAGTGAGCTCTACCTCACATCCCAACAGAGGAGAAAACCAAAAGATGGTTCAACATACAGGAAAAACAATACTGCACTCAGCTGAAATCACATGCAGTGGGGCCGGGGCCCGGTGTGTAATCCCTCACCCTTCCTGGGATTCCTTCAGCCGCCACCAGCCCAGGATGGATCCTTTACCCAGGGCAACAAATCCTCGATTCACGGGGAGCGGAAGGACTGCTCCGGAGGTATTTCCCCAGGACCCTCAAAGGGCTGGAATACAAATGGAAACCCAAGACGTATCATTTTCAGAAGTGAACAGATTTTCACCCTGGTTTCAGGAGGTTGATCCCTATCAGTCCCTTCCATGGGGAGTGTCCCTGCTCTGCACTGTGTTCCTGGCGACTTCAAAGGGAGCCTGAGAAGATGGGCCACCCTGCTCCGTTCCAACCACTGTGTTTCCGACAGCACTCAAGTACAAACACAAATGTTTCATCCAGGTGAGGACCTAAAGTAATGAAGCTCTTTTTTTTTTTTTTAAAGATCAGCTATAAGAATGAAAAAATGCTACAGAAAGCCCTAACGGTAACGGTTATCATGATCTTACTATGCAGCATCTGGGCTTCTAGGGACTGTGCCAATAGGCACACAGGTGCTGCTGGGGCCGGAGCCACAACTAAATCTCAACTCTGGGCTAATGAAAAAAAAACTGAGCATCGTTCTTTCAGTGAGAATCTGAGTGTGTTTTGTAAAACTGTTGGGACTGAACCAAAGCTAGCTAACTAGTCCGTGTTAAAGAGTGAGCTGTTTTCCTGTTTGGTAAAATTATACAATAGACTCTAAGCAGTTGAGCTAAACATGAGAAAGACTCAGAATGAAATGCTTGCTGTCACCCACTTTGTTCCCAGAGTCATCAGGGAAATTCCCATCCACATAATTTCTCCCCTGACCCTGTCCCTGTAGCTCTCATGCCTCCCAGTTTCCCCACCACGACCATTAGCCTGGCCTGTTCTCAGTGTAATAATGGGGGGAAACGGGCATCTGAGGAATGGAACGCCAGTCATCTTTTGCCCTCTGCTGATTACCTGGTGGCAGGTCAGTTGGCCTCCTCAACCTCAATTATTTCACGGGGAGCATAACATTTTCTGTTTACAGGCAGGAGGTTAGATAAGATGAATTCTGTAGCTAAACTTTATGTAGACTCGATCCACTTTACCTTAAAATAGTGTCATGAACAAGGCAAATTTCTGTGCCTTGAACACAGAACTCTCATATACACACACACGAAGAATTAAACATGTTATGACCTGTGTGATTTTGCTTACACCCGCTTATTTTCACGTGAGCAGCTTGATATTTTTTTAGTTTATGGTTGTTGGCAGAATTAACTTCCTTGTAGCTGGAGAACCCAGGTGCCCTTGGCCTTCCCAGCTATGGTCTGGGGGCCACATGCAGCTTCTAGAAGCTTCTCTCAGGTCCCTGACACATGGCACCCTCCAAGGGCCCATCCAAACTCTGGTTTCAGAAAAGTCCCAATTCCTCTTAGATCACACCCACCCAGATAACCTTTTGATTAGCTGCAATGCTCAAGACCTTGATATATCTGCAAAACCCCTTTTGCCATTAATACAATAATGGGGGTCATATCTCATTAAATTCACAAGTCCTACCCACACTTAATGGGAGGGGATTATCCAAGAGCAAAGGGGTCATCTTCACTGGGGTCATCTTCAAATCCTGCCATACCTTCCTTTCCTTTTCCGCTGGGTAAATACTATCCATCATCCAGGAGCTGATTTAGATGCACCTCCTGGGATAAGCAATCCTGACATCCTCAGGCTGAGCTGCTCGCCCGGTGCCCACTGTGGGTCCCTATTTATCCCAATACTGTTATACATACAGGGTGTCCCCCCAAAATGTAAACACACTTGAATAATTATTAATTCCAATGGGTTAAATCTGAAAAGAAAGGAACATCGATTGAACTACCAGCTGTTAAGTGTGGATACATTGTTTGGGACACCCTGTATTTATCACGTCGTATTATACCTAGCTGTGGATGCATCTGTTTGAATTAACATGTAAGGAGCTGGGATACCGGGGGATTCTTTCACTGCGCCTCCCGCAGACTCCTTGTTTGTCGATACCGTGTTCTGCGTGTTAAAACCCCATTCTAAACGTTGCTTGTCCTACTTGAAAGGGAGGTGCGCCGGGCTGCCTAGGAGGAACTATTTTCCAGGTAAGGGTGCGGGCCTAATGCCAGGTGAAGCATGAATCCCCTTAACCTGTGCATCAGTGACTCAGGCCCTTCACCCCGGTGGTATGGACACAGGATTCAAACGTAAGATCCGAACTGCTGTTCACGCCCACCCTGCACTCGCGTTGCCTCATGAAGGCCTAGATCCTATGAGGAAACCTTCTCAGCACAATGAGTGGAAAGATGCTATAGAAGAGGTGTCATGTTTTTGTTATTATGAAGCAGGACAGTTATTTCGCATCTGCGGTGCAAATAAACCAGGCTGGTGCTGCTCGTAAGTGGAATAAAAGAATTACGCAAGGGCCCCACTGGCATCCACATGAGATCTTCAGAATGGCCTCAGCCGTCCATTGCTTCTTCCCCTGGGAAGTTTCCCCTCTCGTGAGGAATTCACGTTGAACCTGCTCGATTCTTCCTCCTGAGGGCCAGTCCGTTCAGGTCTCGTCCAGTCTTTCTAGGACCAGTGAACCCAGTTTTTTGTGCGCCGTCCCCTCCAGGTGTGCCGAGTGGAGGCGCGGAAAACCACGGGAGGTTACCGGATGGTTTCTGCACCCGGTGCATTCCCTGCTTGCAGGCAGCGATCGCCTGTGCCCGTTTAGCAATGCAAGACACGCCCTGCTCTGCCCATTCTCTGGAAGGGAAGCTGGGAGTTGGGTAATTTTATACTATAGGCTGGATTTCAGGAGTCCCCGCTTTGAGAAGAAACGAGCACGGGAAGGTGTCCAGAACCGCAGCCCTCTGCTGGGAACAGAGAAGCTG